ACCTAATTGAGAAATAGTCTCGTGATCGCGTTGACTTCACAAAACACACTGCAATTGCCAAAAAAAACACCCGACTTTTGGTCCTTCCATCTGCAAAAGCTTGACCGGATGTGGATATTATTTTTTATTTTTTCGTACACGTGGCAGCCAACTAATTGACCGACTTTTGTCGCTGGAAGGACCAAAAGTCCGGTTTTTTGGCAGTTACATCTTTTGTATAACCAACGCAACCACATGACTATTTCTCAATTTAGTGTTAGTTACAGACTAAATCTCTATTTTTTTTTTCTAAAAATGATGTCATTTTCTGCTCGTTTGTTAATTATGCGAAACGTACCTCCATGTCTGAGTTCGAGTACAAGGTCCTGCAAGCCTGCAGAGCCTGATAGGTCCTGGTGAACAAGTAGTGTCTCCTGAAAAAAAAAAAGAAAGAAAAAATGTATGAGGGGCCGACCTGTCTAACGGTTAGGCGACTCGACGTGAAATATAAAATGGGTTAAATTCAAATTACCATGGCATTACAGGCAGCAGGGTAATCAAGCTTAGAATCAAGAACAATGTGCCTTGCCATTTCCATATTTGCAGATTGATCAACATAAACGTGGCAAATCCCATCTGACGGGAAAAAAATCACGAAATCGAGCGTAATAAATCTTCCCGAGTTGAAAGAAATCGTGAATAATAAAGAGAGCGTAAGAACGAGTATGATTTTGTTCAGACCCGAATGACCAAGAACAGGAATTTTAGTTTGAGCCTTAATCTGTGAAACGAGTCGGTTGCTTCCTCTCGGGATCACAAGATCAATCACGTCGTCAAGCTGGTGTAGAATATAGCGTCACGTAAAAAAAAAAAAAAAGAAATTTATGATAAAAAATCGAGTAAATGTAAGCATGTGCACGACCTTGAGCAAATCTGGAATGTCCTCTTTCGACGTAACTAATCCGATTAGTTTTTCACCGACTGTATCAGGAATGGCTTTAGTTATCACCTAAAAGAAAAGAGAACATAATATAAATATACATTCAAGTTAGAGAAAAGCAAGCACTTGAGAAATATTTGGCGGGGAAATTATCGAAACGAGATATAGAAAAATCACCTTGTGAAGGATTACATTTGTGCGGCGAGCCTCTTTGCCTCCTTTCAGCAGCAGACCATTCCCACTCCGTATGGCTAACGAAGCAATCTGTCGAGCAAATTATAAAAAAAAAACGGGACACAACTAAATAATGAAAACTCGAAATAGTGTTTTCATTAAATAAGTTGATGAAAAAAGATTAATCTAACATATGTTTAGAACATTTTATGAAAAAACTATGTAACACGATGCAACTCCCGGTTAACCTGAACTAGAGCATCGGGACGTGACTCGAAGATAATAAGTAAAACACCCAATGGACATGTAGTCTTCTCTAAAATAAGTCCTTCTGCAAGCTGAATCGAATAGTAATCGAGTCAAGGATGGAAAATAAATATGAAAATGTAAGTTTGTTGGTTTTTTTTTTTTTCCCCTGATCCCATGAAGAAAAATGTAACTTGAAAAGGTCATACTTTGCAACAAAAGACCTAATAACGAATATAAGTTTCGATTTACCTCAGTTTTCTTCACTATCTGACCAATCGGTTCTTCCATGTCAGCAATGATGCGAATATTCCTTGCAAGAGTTGCTAGCTGAGGAAAATGCAACAATATGTTAACGACAAAAAACTACGATACGCCCCTTTTAGAAAAAAGAACGAGAAAAACAAAAAAGTTTGATCTTTTTAAAGTCGAAAACTTGCCTTTGCACGACTCAACACCAATCGAGATATTAATGACTCGTCATAACCGGCCGCATGGGCTGCCGCCACATCAGCTTCATTCTCGACTTCAATAAGAGATGCTTTTGCCTCTAACCCGTCCGCAACATCCAACAAAATTTGTTTCCTCTCATCAGATGAAACACTCTGAACATTATTGAAACACTGTTATTACTACCAAAGGCTAAAAAAACACAATAATTTCCTAACTTTCCTGAGTTAATTGTTGTATTTTTAGCAAAAATCTTTGAACCTCGATGAAATGTAAATTTGAGTTAAAACCAGCTAAGTTCAACAAAGAATGTGGAAATTTTTCGAAAACCTGTAGGGCCAAAGAACACTCTTTTGCCGCAAGCGCCATTTCACGAGCGCCAATCTCATCCAATGAGGCCCATGTGTGCGCGTCTTGGTGAAACAAAGTGCCGATACGCTGCCCTTCCAACACCCTTGCTATGTTGTTTGGCACAAAACCGCTATCCAAAAGAAGAAAGAAAATAAATATATAGAGTACTATTGAATGTACTTAAAAGAGTGAGTTTATCAATAAAATAGTTAAGAGTGTTTTGGTTTTTGACAAGTGAAGATTAGTGTTCTATCTTGGTCCATATTGTTAATGTAATAGAGTAATTACGTTAGTACCCAACCCAACATTTTCATACCTAGCTATGATGACAGGGGTGCCGGAATCAGCTGCATTGACGGCGGCCTTAACTTTAGCGGTCATCCCTCCTCGGCCGACCCTCGATTTATCCCCGAACGTTATCACCCCTTCATGCTTTTGCTTCACGTAAGTATGTATAAGCCTCGAGTTTGGGTCGCTCGGGGGCCCACTGTACAGGCCCTCGACGTCACTCAGTAGGACGAGAAGGTCAGCTTTCAGCTCAAGCGCCAGCAGGGCTGCCAGGCTGTCATTATCCCAGAATATTCCTGTCGAGTCCTGTGTACATTGGTTATATTTTAGATTTGTGCCGGCTTTTTTTTTTTTTGTCGATAGTACTCGAAATGTAGTTATGTACCTCATATGGAGCTCGTCGGGTGCTGATGGCATCGTTTTCGTTGAAAATCGGTATGCTTCTTAGAGATAACAGCGAATTTACGGTTTGAGAAAGCTGTATTCGGAAATCGGGATTTTTGAAATCGTTGTCTGTGACTAGAAGCTGGGATGAAGTTATATCCAACTGTATAAAGAAAAATAAAGGGTACAAAAATGGGAGTGTAAATCACTTCAAAAGGCGTTGCTCGTGAACATATCGATCGCGACTAAAGAAGATACCGAACATTACTATTCACAACGACTTTAAGCTTTTGTCGACATAAATCACATTCTCTAAAAAAACACAAGTTCAGTCACTCTCCTTTTCGTTTTCTGAGAAAAAATTGGAGATTTAGTAGTGATTGCGTCGAACACCTTGTAACTGCAAAAAAAACTGACTTTTAGTGCTTCGACCAACAAAAACCGGTCAATTTGACCGGCTGAGTTAGATATATTAGCCGGCTATCACGTGAACAGAAAAAAAAAATGAAAAACAATATCCACATCTGGCTTTTGGCTTTTGATGTGGAAGGATAGTCAGATTTTCTTTTGCAGGGTGTATTGTAAAGTCAACGCAATCACCGGACTATTTTTTAATTAGGTGCTAGTTAAAGGACTAAATTTATAATTTTTCCTTGTTTTCTATATGTTTTGTAGCATTCAAAGAACACTTCATATACATTTTTTTGTTTTCGATTAAATTGCATTACTTTTTTTTTTTTTTACCTGGCTAAAGAGAGAATCATAGACTGCCATGAGACCGTTTTGCCCGACAGCCGCACATGCTTTTCCATCGATCTCAACTTGCGGCTTTTGCAGGTCAGCGAAACTGTCACACAAGTCGGACTTTTCAGCCAAACGAAGCCTTGTTTTCGACACGAGAAAAGGCAAAAGGAGGAAAACGGGCAAGAATCAAATGAAGTGTTCCAATTTGTTCGAAATTCCGAATAAATTGGAACTTATAAATGAAAGTGTCTCGCTTTCACCTGCTGTTCAAAAGCCTTCTGTACTTGAGCCTTTGCCGACCAGCCCCAACGGCTCCAGATGTAACTAATATTATCTCGTAACCTTGAGAATTCAATGCTTGAAGCTGATGAACCATTTCACAATTATCTAAATTCAATTTACGAAAAATGTACATTATCTATGAAAAAAAAAAAGCTCGTATGATGATCAAATTAACGAAACCTGCTCAAAGATGGCTCCTACTCGTCCGACAGCCAATCTCCCGTCGCTTCGTGTAACGACAGCTGTTCCAACCTATACCGGCAAACAATGTAGACGACAAATCGACACAAAAGAAAAAAATTAAGTTAAATATCCTTCTTCGACAAGAACCTCAGTTTCATTTGATTTTGTGCAATGTGATAAATCTAACAATGGCATAAATTTGGAATCATATTTACAGGTGATCATAAATTTTTTAACACAACATTTCATCCCAATGTAAACTTAGTATAGAAAATAAAAAAGGCATCAAAATACAGTACAAAACATAAGTTCATCATATTAGAAACAAAATATAAAACAATTAAATTAATGTAGACATAAAAATTAGATCAAAGAACATAAAAATAAAAAGTCACCTTAAACACGACGCGCTTGACATGCTTGACAAAAGCTCTCGTAGGATCCATATTCAAATAAAATCAATAACAATATTTTTTTGAAAAAAAAAAATAAAAATAAATGAACATAAATAAAATTAAATTAATTATTATGTGAAAGCTTTAGAAAAATGTATTTGTGAAGGTCCTGAAAGGTCTGGGCGGGAAGCTCGCATCTTCTCCAATGTAAGTGTAACTATAAGAATTCGGATGGTTACAACATTTTTTCCGATTTAATTTTGAATGTATTGGTATGAGATCACATATTTATAAATTTAAATATATATATATATAATAAGATTAAATGATAATAAATCATATTTCCTACTATAAGAAATTAAGGGTTATATTATAAATACCCTTTTAAATAAGGGCAACTAATTAATCTATACTTATATAATAAGGTATCCTATTTACCAAATTTAGTAGGTTGAAAAGTCAACGTAATTAATGCATTGCTATTTCTATCTAGAATTTTATATAATTACTAGTACAACGCCCGTGTATTACACGGGTGCTTGCTATTTTTTTTCTTAAAATCTAAAACTAATGAGAAAAAGTAGTTGAAAATTTAAATACATTTTATTAATATATATATTATTATATATTTAGTATGACACTTTTTATTTGTGTGACTTAATTGTGTTATATTATAATAATTTTTTTAACTTACAATATATAACTACGTTAAACATAAATATATCAACTGAGAAATAATTTTATTTTTCTAATAAATTTTAATAAATATTAGTATTTTTATTATTATAAAAATAAATATAATTTATTTATTTTATATATACAATATGTATGTCAAATCGAAGATCGTAAAAAAAATAATTAATTTGATATATTATATATGTAAAACCAATAATAAATACAAAAGTTATCAACTTTTGAAATATATTTATAATTCAATAACTAATTGAAGGAACAACGTCAGGGATATATTAGTCACTTAGTGCCTCACTATGTAAAAATTACAAAGAATTAAATGGTTATATTAGTACAAGTGATATTTTCGTGTATGTATTTAGATATTTTTATACATGTTTCGTATGCATGACCATAAACAAGAGTCAGAGACATTATTTATCCCACGTTGGTCTTTTTCTAAAGAAACCTGTCTTTAGTCATGACCAATGATATGTTGTTGTTTCGCGTGTAATTAACAGAAGAGAGTTGAAGATATTAGTTTGTTAAAATGAGGAGTTTCCCAATAATCAAACTAATAATATTGTGTACAATGAGGTCTTTATAATATATGATTGTTTCTTTGTCGAATACTATTTTATTGTATAATTTTCCTGCGTATTGTAAAACTTTTATTGAATATTGTCTCATATAATATATTATCCACAAATAAATATATCTCGTGCCTTGCACAGGTCACGTACTATATTTATCCCATTCATTTTTCTTTATTCATTTATATAATTATAAGGCTGGATAAATGACCTTAAAATTGTGTACCCCGTGCATCGCACGGGCTCTGTACTTGTTAGTCTAAAAACTAGTAATGTGAAATTTTATGGCCTTCAGATTTTCAGTTGTTTACTCATATTGTAGTAGTAATGTTAGAAATTTTATATAGATTACTAAAATATTACTAATCAAAAATGTTAATCTTGTTGGTATTAATTTTTCTTTTTATAGATTTTTTTTTTTCCTTATTCTATTAAAAGTTCACAGTATCTCATTTAAAACTTGCTTTGTTACTAAAACCATAGTTTTTAAACTCGGACCGACAATCAACCGGAACAGATTTCCGGGTCGTGATTCTAAATCATTCTAAAACCATATAAAAGGACACAATGAACCAAAATCCCACCAAATCAAAAAAATAAAACAAACCAATCAAACTATCATCACAAACCAAATTATTCATCTCCTATCGTGCTGCCAACAATTGAAAAACCCAAAAAAATAAATAAATAAATAAAAGCTATCAATGATTTCAAAAAAAAAAAATCCACCCTACAAATTAAGCATGAAATCTGACTAATCAATTGCGGCTAAACGCCAAAATAACCACCGTCACAGGTGCAAGCCCCTTCGGTGGAGCCACCGTTGGGCCGTGTCTTGAGGCTGAGGCAGCAGCAAGCCAAGCCGATCAATACCATGAAGCCCCAAGCCGTGGCTAAGGCTTGCACCCAGCTCCAGCTGAACGCCATTTAAACGTTTGAAAATCAACTCAACTCAACCCAACCCAAAATCTAGTCAAATTTTCATAAGACGATATCTGAAGATGGTTATATATATATACGTATATGTAACATATATATGAGCACGTGAGACTTAGCTTGAAAGAGAGCCAGAAAGCATGAGCCAGCCTATGAACCAATCAAAAAATGAAAAATCTTGGATGTCTCAAAATACACTTTTGAGCACAAAGAACATAAAAATGTGAATATACATATTTTTTTTATTTTTTTTTTAATCAAGTGAGGACAGCTATAATTGTTGGGCAAATATAGATTCCGTCTTTTGGTTCTCTTTCTCACGAAGTAAAGCATTGGGCAAATTTTAAGTCTGTAAATTCTTCGTTATTGTACATATGGGATGAAAATAGTGCTATTAAATTAAACAAGACTGGCTCGGTTCGACTCGAGTTTGGGACCTTAACAAGTTGAATTAAACGAGACTGGATCGACTTGACTCGAGTTTGGGACCTTAACGAGCCGAGCTCGAGCTCATTTAAAGCTCGGCTCGGCTCGACTCGAGTTCGGGACCTTAACAAGCCGAGCTCAAGCTCATTTAAAGCTCGCTTAGAACTCGGTTCGATAAGACTCGAACATAGAATTTTTATATAATTCTTTATTATTCGGCTCGATAAAGCTTTAGATCGGCTTCGAAAACTTAACGAGCCGAATTCAAGTTTGATTTCAGGCTCGTTTACTTAACGAGCTCGAGCTTGATCACCCTAAGCTAGAGCTCGGCTCGGCTCATTCACAACTCTAGATCATGGGAATAGGAAAAGGTATTGTAAAAGATATTCTTGAGATTGAATGTATTCTCTTTTAGAAAAAGTTCTAATAATATGTCCACTACATAACAGAAAATTAAAAATCACATTTCAATGAATATTTAGCATTTTTCGCTATTTTTGTAGTGAAAGGAGTGAAAGCGGAGCTTTTTAACGTGGTCAGAACAGATGTTCCAGAAAACATTTGTTTATCAACACTTCTTTCATAACAGCTGTCAGCTGAATATTTGTTTCAAATTTCAAACTCTTTCAGAACAGCTGCCAGCTTAATTTGGTGTCCGTGGTGTACGTGCACTTACATGTAAATAACCCAGAAAATTTAAGAAAAAAGTTGAAAACACTGGCCACTATCCAGCAGCACCAACATCTGTTTATCAATACTTTGCAGTATTTTTTTTTTCATTATCCAAGAATATAATCCCACGAATATCTGAAAATCATATTAAATTGGTAAGTCTTCATCCACTCGATCGAACAAGGAATTCAAGAGATTTTACAGATCATCTTCTACTGATCGATCTTCAGACCTTTGGCGGCCTCTCCCTTCGCCTGAAAACTTGAACACAGCTGGCTAGAATAAAATCACACGAAACCGTAAGTTATTATCTTCATAAACACCACCTCAAAGAATGGAAGCACATAAAGACTTATTATAATAGGGTTGGCAGCAAGGTCAATTCCACAAAAGATTAATACAAAATAAAATGAAAAAAAAAAAAAAAACAAGCGTAAAAGGAAGAATATATGCCATCAAAACATAAATAAGACCAAAATACAGGTGGTTCGACAAAAGTTTCAAATAAATAATGAGAAGACAAAGAATGTCTAGTTAACGAGTGAAACTGAACATCAAGGACCGTGAGAGGTTGTGGACGATTTCTCTTATTGTGGACCGTGTGTTCATACTTTGAAGGCAAAAGATCCAGGAAGATTATTGTCTTAGTCTAATACACCAAGTACCAATTATCAATGTCTTCTCTCTTTACAAGAAACTCAATAGTAGTTATTTGACCAAGTAATACCAAAGCATTTCAAAACAAATGAGTTTTTCTAATTGCCAGTAAAAGTCATTAATCTGGCAGTAGATTAATCCAAGAGTGAAAAAACTGAACTTATGTTCAAATACACCCTACATCATAAAATTAATTCTCAAATCAAACTTAATAGACATACAGAGAAAGTATACCAATGAAAAATGAGATGGACCTCAATTTTGCTAGAACTCATGTTGAGGGATCAAATATTTCAAGCATTCAAGAAAATAATCCCATAGTACTCCTAATGTAAGTTAGACTTTCCACAGAAAACTTGTATCAGATACGAATATTTACCCACATATATTATCAAAAATCAGGGCAGGTATAATACAGCAGCACTACCTAAACGAGATATCTTAAACCCCACCTAGAGCGCCATGTCACAGACAATTAATGTAATTACCCATCGAAGCCTTGGGTATGACCAATCAGAAGCATTAAGAGCCTCAAATCCCATATGGAAGTTGGCAAGCCAACTGGCTAAATTATATTAACCCACCCTAACCATTTCTCAGCAACCTAGTAAAAAATTTCCAAAGGCTGATACAACCAAATAGAGTGAAAGATGAAGAATATCTGGCACCAGCTAAAACAAGAGAGCCATACATGAAAGAAAATGATGATGGAATACTGATTATCAATCCAAAGTAGATAAATGTTTAATACCTGTCATGTGCTCTGCTACAAACAAGCTACAGCTCACTATAATTGCGCCAAACGGCACGGAACTCTTCACGGAATGTGTTCAAGCGAGCTTTCAAGTTGGGAGTTCTAAAGCTTGCGTGGATGAGAGTGGCTGTGCCATAGAAAAAGAGTTAGTAACAATAAATTCACAGGGCAGAGAATCAGAAAAGAAAAGTTTGAATTACCAAGAAGTCCAATAGCAAAAGCCCATAAGACCATGAGGATACCACATGAAGCAAACCAGAGGAAGAAACTCACTGCAAAGAGGAATAAAAAGACATAATTATTAGCATGCACCATACATCCTTTAAGACCTAATAAAAACTAAATACGCGCGGAAGAGAAAGTATATCTTACTTGCAGAAAATACCAAGACAAATACCCATCGCGGCCGTCCACATATATGTATTGCTCGTTTTGCAGATGGGCGCCCCCGAATAACAGGTCTAGAAATTTATTTATAAGTCGTGTAAGAACCAGCAACAGATGATAAGAAAATTTGGAGAGCATCTAAACTTACGTGAGGGGAGGTCTCATCTTAGCTGCCAAGTGAGGAGAAAACTGTCTGACAGTTCTTGTGACCTTTTCACTGAAGGTACCTGCAAAACTATATGAACAAGCATTGGCGATATAAGAAAGCTTACAAGACAATGACAGCAAACAGAACTACGGTTAAAGACTATTCACTACATGATTAGCCATCCATCGTAACAAATCCAGTTTTCATCCAATTAAAGTACTAGAAATATGATCTACACTAATGATTCTAATTCTTCCTATAGTATCAGACCACTCTCCCCCAACCTTCTAATTTCCCTCGTCAAGAAAACGAGTGATGCTTCAAAACAATTCATATTGATATTGGTTCAGAAGTACACACCTATCATTCAGAAACGCAATACTCAAAGCTGTCAACAAAGCAGCAACAATAGCTAGCGGCCTCCTAAGAAATCCAATCCCTGAAAGTCGGACAAGTATCGAATACTATATAATCAGCAGTCATGTACAAACACAGGCAATCAGAAAAAGGAAAGCCCACCATCATCATCATTTTCTCTCTTACCAAGAATGAAAACAATCATTATGAAATAATTCGTCCGGTAGCTGCAGAAGCCCAAAAAACAATGATTAATGATATAATAATAAACAATCTTAATTTAAAAAACTCATTGCTCCGATCAAACGCAATAACTAAACTCATCATCATTTCCAGTCCATTAAAATAATATTGAAAAATCGCATACGCAACCAAGCGTGCTAAGATCGATGAAGGAATATCGTACTAATAGAGGTTGCACTTTAGACGACTGTTCCATTTGGCGTACGAGCGGGGCACGGTGAATCGGGAGAAGAACTCCGACACGGGACGCGGCGGCGACGACCAGTCAACTTCGCGAAGGGCCTCCACCAGATCCTCTGCCGTCACGTTGTTCCAATCCATGAGCTGTTTTCAAGTGATCGGGAAAAAAAAATTGAGCCCGATTGATCGCGAGAAACCCTAGGAAGATGAGCAAAAAAAAGAAAATACTACGAGCAGCAAAACGTGATCGGAAAAACGGAGAGGTGAAGTGAAGTAAAGTATATATTCCGGCGAATTTTGGAATTGGGGAAGAATTTAATCGGTGTGAATTTACAGTAAAAACTGAGAAGAAATCTGAGTTTGTTGATGAGAAGAAGAAAAAATAGAGATGGGACAGATTGAAAATAGAAAAGTGGAAAACGCGAATGAAAATAGATAACTTTGAAAAGAAAAAAAAAAAACTATACGAAATGTCTGAGCCCGGGTTCGAACCGGGGACCTCTAGTGTGTGAGACTAGCGTGATAACCGACTACACCACCCAGACAAGTTGCTACATTTCTCATTGGTAATTATCGTACTCCAGATCACGTGTGCATTATCCAAATAACGAAAGAGAGGTTAAAGGGTTTGTTTGGTAAGCCAAATAAGCTAGCTTATAGCTTATAAGCTCCCTGTTTAAAATCAGTCTCGTTTGGTAGGACGAGCTTTTTTAAAAAGCTCGAACTTATTTCATAAGCTACTTTAGGTAGCTTTTCAAATAAGCTAGTTAAATTTTTTATTTCAGCTAGCTTATCAGCTAATTTACCAAACATCTTTTATCATATAAGCTAGTTTTTCAACTATAAATTATAAGCTATAAGCTATAAGCTAAAAAATTACATATAAGCTATAAGTTAGTTTATCAGCTAATTTTACCAAACATAGTCAAAATAATGTCATATGTTTAGAAGTAAGTTTCCCCAATGATCTTTTTTTCTCTCATGCTTTAATTATTTTTTTTAATAACTAGTTTAATCTCTTTCCATAATATAATTTAAATATATTGTCAAAACAACAAATAATTAGCAACAAAACACTAGAGTAAACAGAGTCAGGAACAATTTATCTCATAATTTTAATCTACCAAGAACACATGATATTATCAAGAGCGCTTTTCATTTTTGTTCCAATATCTCCCTAAATCCTGCAAATACAAAGAAATATTTGTTCCTACTTTTTCTTTTTTCCCCAGAAAACCTATTTCTGGCCACAATATACATAAAACCTCTAACAAATAGCATTTTTCTTCTACCTCACAATCCATAAATATTTGCTCGAGCATAATACGAGCAAAAGCTAACTCAAAGCCCCGTTCGAGAGTAGCTTCTTCAGTGTTTCGTAGGTCACGAAAACAATCCCGACAGTTGGAACAACCTTACAATACTCCGGCATAATCCCTCTATACAGTCCACGAAAGCCTTCTGTTCGAATTATCTGCCCAAAAGTCCCGAGCAAGCCCACATTGTACACTCGGGCTTGGCCAGCCGCACCCTCCAATTGCATTCTTCGCCTCACGAGGTCCAATGGGAAAGTTACTAAAATATGCAACCGAAGATTATATTCTCAATGGATAAATATCGTATTCTTGTGGTAAAGATAGGATTTTTCTACAGATAATGCGGTAAAAATCACACCTGTTGATGATGCGATGCCCGAAAGGCTGCCACATCCGAGACTGACCAAGACAGTAGAGTCGTGGGGCCTAATATTCAAAATAAGGAAAATAAAAAAATCGGTAAAATCTAACTGCGTGAAAGAAAAAATGGGAGGTAAAATAATTAAAAATTTAAATTTACTGACCATCACAAGTCACAACTAAGAGTTTTTTCCCCTCACCTTCGAGAATGCCAATTATATCTCAAACTCTCGTATACTGAAAAGCTAATAGCTATGCTGGGTCCAACGCCCTGCAAAGTGCAAAAACCCAGTCGAGCAAACTACTTAAATAAAAGGAAAACGGAATGTTATTTCCTTTCCTAGTCTAGTTTTGGATAAAGGGAATTACAAAAAAGTACCAGTAATGTAGCCCCCATTCCTTTGTATAAGCCAAGAAAACCTTCATCTCTGCATATGGTACGAAGAGCATGACTTATGCCCTTATAGTATATCGCATTTCTCTACGAAATCGTAAAGAAAACGAGTCAATACTCTACTAAAACCTCAGAAGATTTCGACATATAACCATAATCAAAGTTCTCCCTCACAAAACTAATCAGACTTCGAATCTTTGACAGCCAATTCCCCATTTGCCCTTTTGTACCAACACTAAGATAGAAATATCCGAAGTTTCGTGTTTATTACACAAATACCTGTGCTGCAAGACGTGTTCTGATAAGATCCAACGGGTAAGTAGCTGAGGCGGCAGTTATTCCGGCCAATCCACCGCCAACAAAGTGCACAAAAACATCCGAACCGGCATTTTTTTCTTGCCCATCAAGGCCAGGGATCGATTTCAGAATCTGCAGACAACAAAACACGAAAAGCTCCTTCAAGTTATCACTCATTACAGATCAAAAATGTTAAAAACACATCTTATAAACACACACACCTTCTTATACTGTTCATAGGCATAGAAATTGACCGACGAGTACGGAAGCCGGTGAGTCACCGTGACCAAATTTCCTTTCCAAAAGGCTCGAAAACCTTCTTCGTTGACCACGCGCAAGGCCTCCCGCCAGATACAGGGCTTGCTCATGACTGCAACATCTGAGTGCATGCCCTGAACCTAATAATGACAAACGAAATGTGAACTCGATGGGAAAATTAAAGATAAAATTATTTATCTACAAATTTCAATAACAGAAAATTTCAACTTGGGAAAGGGGAAAAAAAAACCTGAAACAGAATGGTGAGCCGAGCTAGTGGGGCCGTGCAGGTTTTGCTGAAAGCTCCGGCAACCCCGCCGGCGAAGAGCTGCGGCACGGTGCCAATCTGGGGCGACAGAGACTGCTGAGGGGACGTCCCAGCAGCACGCGACTGGTGGTGCTGGACAATGTTCCTTGTGGCGGCGCCGCCGTCCCCCCCAACTCGAGCTTCCATCGATTAAGCAGAAAAAACCGTCGATCTATCCAAATTTTTTCAAATTTTGAGCAGGATCATTGGATTCTTAGATGTTTTAGAACGGAGATTAACGGGATGACGAATTTGTGCAATTTCTTTAGATTTTCAGAATTTTTGGTTTGGGTGGCGACGGCTTAAACCCTACCTAAACCCTGCTAATGGGTCAAAGTCGTTATATTCCTTGCTCAGTTGGAAGTTTGACGAAGTGAGTCACGCTTTTTTGCGACCAATGCGATAAACGTTTTAAATTCCAAAAAACGTGTCTCCTATGCTGTGGGCCGGTGGCCCATCATATACGGCTTTTGCCCAATTTCTAAAATTTAAAGGCCCATTTACCTCAATTTATGGCCTTCTTTTGTGTATCCAGTTTTTTTTTTTTTTTTTTTTTTT